TGTCGCCCGATGCGGAAGGTCTTGGCCATGGAAGTTGTTCAACACTGCCGCTGCGAGACCCACCGCGGATGCGCCGTCCTGCGTATTCTTCGCTTCTTTGATGAGCACTCAGCACTGTCGACGCTGTGCCCCAGCGCATCGGCCCTGAACTTCCAGAATGCTTGGTCACTCCATGAGTCCATCCCGTCCCTCCCCCCCAGAACCGCGGGATTCGGAATCATGTTTCCCGGCGACTATCGCATCTCTTGGCCTCTTGCGTTCCACTGCTTTCCAGATTCGAGTCCCCATCCAAACCTTGAAAAGTCTCCGGACCCTCCTCTCTTGTTAAATTCCCTCCTCCCCGACCTCCACTTCTTCTTCCACTTCAAGTTCTCCCCAGTCTCAACTGCACCCCATATTTCCCACATCATCGGCGCGTCCAACGTGGCTTTGACGCGCGCGCAACCCCGTCTCGAAACGCCGACTGACATCATCGCCTCGGCTCCCTGACTGTCCTGTCCCTCACCTCCAACAAAACATCGCCAATGGCGACCGACCCGGCCGCAGGGCCAGTCGCGGCTGGCCCGTCCCCCTCCAGTCGCACCTCGAGCAACGATGTCTCGACCGATGGCGCCACCGACAACAACACCCCCAAGAACCAGAACCCAATGGCCCTGGAAAAGGCCGACAGCAAGGTCATCGTCCCCAAGGACGCCGACCCCGAGAACGACCCCTTCAAGCACCTCCCCGAATCCGAGGCCAAGATCCTCAAGGACCAGGTCTTCACCCCCGATGTCAAGATTGGCTTCGGCATCCTCTACCGCTACGCGTCGCGCACCGACATCATCATCATCGTCGTGTCGGCCATCTGCGCCATGGCCTCGGGCGCCGCGCTGCCTCTCATGACCGTCGTCTTTGGAGGCCTGACCAACGTCTTTCAGGGCTACTTTAACGGCACCACTACGTACGACGAGTTCGAGGGCGAGCTGAGCAAAATGGTGCTCTACTTCGTCTACCTGGGCATCGGCGAGTTCGTCACCACCTATATCTCGACAGTAGGCTTCATCTACTCGGGCGAGCACCTCAGCGCAAAGATCCGCGAGCACTATCTCGAGGCCAGCTTGAACCAAAACATTGGCTACTACGACCAGCTCGGCACCGGCACCATCACGACGCGCATCACGGCCGATGCCAACATGATCCAGGACGGACTCTCCGAAAAGGTCGGCCTCACCCTGGCTGCCGTGGCGACCTTTGTGGCTGCCTTCATTATCAGTTTTATCAGCTACTGGAAGTTGACGGTTATCCTGCTGAGCACGGTCGCGGCCATGATGATCGTCATGGGCGGCGGGTCGCGCTTCATCGTAAAGTACTCGAGGGCAAACATCAGCGCCTACGCCGAGGGCGGGTCTGTGGCCGAAGAGGTCATCAGCAGCGTGCGCAACGCCATGGCCTTTGGAACCCAAGAGCGTCTCGCCAAGCAGTACGACGGCCACCTCGTCAAGGCCGAGTACTTTGGCTTCCGCCTCAAGGCGTCGATTGGTGTTCTGGTCGCCTTCATCATGACGATTCTCTATCTCAACTACGGCCTGGCGTTCTGGATGGGCTCGCGCTTCATCGTCAGTGGAGAGGCCGACTTGCGCCAGGTCCTCATCGTCCTGATGTCCGTCATGATGGGCGCCTTCAGTCTCGGTAAGCTCTCCCCATTTCCTAGCTACTCGATGATACTAACCCGGCCCAGGTGGTGTTGCTCCCAACGTGCAAGCCTTTACTAGCGCGCTTGCCGCTGCGTCCAAGATCTACAGCACGATTGATCGCATCTCCCCGATTGACCCGTCCAGCGACAAGGGCGCAAAGCTCGAGAATGTCAAGGGAACCATCCGCCTGGAGAACATCAAGCACATTTACCCCTCGCGCCCCGAGGTGGTGGTCATGGAGAACGTCAGCCTCACGGTGCCTGCGGGCAAGGTGACAGCCCTCGTCGGCGCCTCGGGATCCGGAAAGTCAACCATTGTTGGCCTCGTCGAGAGGTTCTATTCCCCCATCGAAGGAACTGTGTACCTGGACGACGTCGACATCTCGACTCTGAACCTGCGTTGGCTCCGTCAACAGATCGCCCTCGTCTCGCAAGAGCCAACCCTCTTCAGCACCACCATCTATGAGAACATCCGCCACGGCCTGATTGGAACCAAGTGGGAGACGGCGGATGCGGAAAAGCAGGCCGAGCTGATTCACGAGGCTGCGAAGAAGGCCAATGCGCACAGCTTTATTACCGGACTTCCCGAAGGCTACGAGACGAACGTCGGCGACCGCGGCTTCCTCATGAGCGGCGGTCAGAAGCAGCGCATTGCCATTGCTCGGGCTATTGTGTCGGATCCCAAGATTCTTCTCCTGGATGAGGCCACCAGTGCCCTGGATACCAAGTCGGAAGGCGTCGTTCAAGCCGCTCTCGAGGCTGCCTCCGAGGGCCGCACGACCATCACCATTGCCCACAGACTGTCGACCATTCGGGATGCTGACAATATTGTCGTCATGTCCGAGGGACGGATCGTTGAGCAGGGCAGCTACAACGACTTGCTGGAGCAGAACGGCGCGTTCCGAAAGCTGGTTTCCGCACAGGCCATTGCTACCACGCAGCTAACTACTGAAGAGATCGAGGCATTGGACAAGGAAGAGGAGGAAATTCTCATCCGCAAGGCTTCGGCCCAGGCCAAGGAGGGCGGGCGCGCGTACGCCGAGGACCCCGAGGACGACATGGCCGCCAAGTTGAACCGCAGCACCACCCAGAAGAGCGCGAGCTCGATGGCTCTGGCAGGACAGAAGGCCGACGAACCCGTCAAGTACGGCCTGTGGACGCTCATCAAGCTGATTGGCAGCTTCAACAAGCAAGAGACGAAACTCATGCTTGTGGCGCTCGTCTTTTCCATCATCTGCGGCTTGGGCAATCCGGTCCAGGCCGTCTTTTTCGCCAAGCTCATCACGGCTCTGTCGGTGCCCATCAACGCCGTCACGATCCCGCACATCAAGTCGGAAGCCTCGTTTTGGAGTCTGATGTACCTCATGCTCGCCATTGTCCAGTTCATCGCTTTCTGCATCCAGGGCGTCATCTTTGCCAAGTGCAGCGAGAGACTGGTCCACCGGGTCCGCGACCGCTCGTTCCGCACCATGCTGAGGCAGGACGTCCAGTTCTTCGATAGAGACGAGAACTCTGCCGGCGCCCTCACCTCGTTCCTCAGCACCGAAGCGACGCACGTGGCTGGTCTCAGCGGCGTCACCCTTGGCACCCTCCTCATGGTCACGTCGACTCTCATCTCTGCCTGCACCGTCGCCCTGGCCCTGGGCTGGAAGCTCGCCCTGGTTTGCATCGCCACCATGCCTGTACTTATTGCCTGCGGCTTCCTGCGCTTCTGGATGCTGGCGCACTACCAGCGCCGGTCGAAGCGCGCCTATGCCGGCTCGGCGAGCTACGCCTCGGAAGCCATCTCAGCCGTCCGCACCGTCGCCGCCCTGACTCGGGAGGGCGATGTCTTGCAAAAGTACAAGGACTCGCTCGCCGAGCAGCAGCGGGCTAGCCTCAGGTCGGTGCTGAAGAGTAGCACTCTTTACGCATCCTCGCAGTCGCTGTCCTTCCTCGTCTTTGGTCTCGGGTTCTGGTACGGAGGCACCCTGATCGCCAAGGGCGAGTATGGCATGTTCCAGTTCTTTGTCGTTTTCTCCTCCGTCATCTTCTCGGCTCAGTCGGCTGGCTCTGCTTTTTCCTTTGCGCCCGATATGGGCAAGGCCGCCGAGGCATCTCGCACCCTCAAGACGCTCTTCGACCGCAAGCCGACCATCGACACGTGGTCCCCCGACGGCGACAAGGTCGAGGCGGTCGACGGCGCCATCGAGTTCCGCGACGTCCACTTCCGCTACCCGACCCGCCCCGAGCAGCCCGTCCTGCGCGGCCTGAACCTACGCATCTCGCCGGGCCAATACGTCGCGCTCGTCGGCGCCTCGGGCTGCGGCAAGTCCACCACGATCGCCCTCCTCGAACGCTTCTACGACCCCCTCGTCGGCGGCATCTTCCTCGACAACAAGGAGATCAGCTCGCTCCACCTCGCCGACTACCGCAGCCACATCGCGCTCGTGTCGCAGGAACCCACCCTCTACCAGGGCACGATCCGCGACAACATCCTCCTCGGCACGCCGCACCCCGTCTCGGACGAGCAGCTCGCGTTCGCGTGCAAGGAGGCCAACATCCACGACTTCATCCTCTCGCTCCCCGACGGGTTCAACACGGTGGTGGGCTCCAAGGGCGCGCTGCTCAGCGGCGGGCAGAAGCAGCGCGTCGCCATCGCGCGCGCGCTCATCCGCGACCCCAAGGTGCTGCTCCTCGACGAGGCCACGAGCGCGCTCGACTCGGAGAGCGAGCACGTGGTGCAGGCGGCGCTGGACAAGGCGGCCAAGGGGCGCACGACGATCGCCGTGGCGCACCGGCTGAGCACGATTCAGAAGGCGGATATCATCTATGTGTTTGACCAGGGGAGGATCGTGGAGCAGGGGAAGCACGCCGAGTTGATGCGGCTCGGGGGGAGGTACGCGGAGCTGGTGAATTTGCAGAGTTTGGAGAAGCATTAGGGGAGGGGGGGTTCGGGGGATGGTTTTGCATTTGGGAAGCGAGATATCAGTGCATTGCATGCATGGCGTTTTGGGGCGGGCAGGTTTATGGCTTGGTTTAGGACGGAGGTATGGCATGTAACTAGGAAGAGTTGTATATCAACTTTGATACCCAGGGAGATGGGGGACTAGCCTGTTGAGCGCTCCCTGGATAATGTAATACCTTGAACAACTTTATACGGACACATGCTGGAGCTGCTGGAGATGCTTCTATACACATGGTTGGGTAAAAGGAGCGCCCGTCCTGTCCTTTGGCATCATGAGGCGGAATGGTGCTGGCAAGAGAAGGCAAAAAAGACAAAGTCCATTGGATTGGGGAGCAAAAAAACTTAAAAAGAAGGAACCTCTTCGCCAGTCAGGAATTGAGCCCGACGTGGGGGTCGAACCCACAACCTTGAGATTGATGGAGTCGTCCATAAGAGTCTCACGCTCTACCGATTGAGCTAGCCGGGCGATGAGGTTCTTGATGAATGGGACTGCGGTATTATTGTACTTGTGGTATAGGCGATGGTGCGCAGAGAGGGGTCGTCCATACCCGCACCTATCTCCTTCTCGAGATGTTGCTTCATGTTGCTTGGATAGAGGCAAACAGGAAAAGAGTCAATGTTGCAAATGGAGACTTGTTCAAATTGTTTCAAACCTCAGCGTAATATTCCATGACTCGGGCGAATTCACCCCGAACCCTCTCCCCATTCCCAGCGTACATTGCACATCTGAAATGTGACTGACTGACATGTCCTTTGGCGAGAAAGAAGCCCCCGTGCCCCCTGATGAGGCAGTCGAGTTGCCACAAGGCCACCAACACTCTGCCAGTGGCCGCGCAAGCCCGATCCGAGCATGGAAAAAGACAAGCTGTCCACTTCTGCCCTCGACACTACTGACCCGTATTTGTACCACTCACTCACTCTCGTCATTCCCAACTGTCCGATTGCCAAAGTGTTGTCTTCTCCCAATTCTACACACACTCTCTCTCTACCCACACGCCCGGGGTGCACCAATCCCTCCGCCCAGACGACGCTACTCCATCCCCACAAAAAGTGACGTCCTCCTTCTCAACTTCGCACCTGTCCACCAAAACATTGAACCTTGACGGCCATCACCACCTCAAACCTCAACATCGACCTCGGCACTGCGCGACTGCGCGCACGACACAACCCCCATACCAACATCAAAATGCACCCCCTCCTCCTCCTCCTCCCCCCCCTCGCCCTCGCCTCAAAACCCAAACCCCCCAACGCCATCCTCCTCTCCTCCGTCCGCTCCCTCACCCTCTCAGCGCACAAGCAAACCACGCACCGCCGCGTCCCCGCCGCCCCGCAGCTCAAGTGCGTCTCCCCCGCGCCCATCTGCGCCCTGCACACCCTCGACACGCTGCACTGCACCAACACGGGCGCGTCCTACTCGGCCGAGGACATCACCTGGTCGTGCACCGCGCCGTCCCTGCCCACCACCCTCCGCCTCGGCTCGACCGACGTCGTCTGCGAGGGCTACGACTCGGCGGCGGACCCGTACGTGCTGCGCGGCAGCTGCGGGGTGGAGTATAGGTTGGTGCTGACGGAGGAGGGGGAGAGGCGGTATCCCAAGCTTGCCGGGGTTGGTGGCGGCAGTTTCGGCGGGGAGGGGACGGATTGGGGCGGGTATCTGTTTGCGCTGCTGTTTGTCGCGGTGGCGGGGTGGATGGTGTATAGCGCCTGTGTGGACGGGAATGCGGCTGGGGGGGCGAGGCCGGCGAGGAGGAGGCGGCCGCCTGGTGGTGGTGGTGGAGGGGATGGGCCTGGGGGCTGGGGCGGTGGCGGGTGGGGACCCGGAGGAGGAGGGGGAGATGCGTGGGATGATCCGCCGCCGCCGTATCCTGGGACCAAGAGGTCGTCGACGACAGCGGCAGCGGGGAATGCCGGGGGGTGGGGCCCGGGGTTCTGGTCGGGGCTGGCGGGCGGGGCGGCGGCCGGATACATGGCGGGGAACCGGGGAAACAGACGGGACGAGGATACTCGGCGGGGGCGGTGGGGAGGAGGGGGGAGCAGCTGGGCTTCGGGGTCCGGGACGCAGGGCGAGTCGAGTTCGAGCAGCGGCGGCCCGACACACGAGAGCACAGGGTTTGGGTCGACGAGCAGACGCTAATCACCGGGTCATTATGTAGTTCGATTCGCTTGGGTTAAATGCTTTGCTATGGGTGTGGCGACACCTGGTATCGCAACAAAAAAGAATGCTCGTCGGGAGCAAAGCCAACCGCCTCTCCAGTCTCCCCTCCTCGGAACCTCCCATCCCAAGATCAGGTCTATGGCCACACCCAATTCTAGTCTCACAAGGCTATTTTACATCGCTAGCAGGGACGCATGCTCATGCATGACGTGGACTGTATGTAGTACAAGTCTCCCCCTCCCATCTTACACTGGGGCTCTCCGCCCAGGGCGGCACCCCGTCTATTACCTGCGACTCCTTGGTCTCCCCTCCGTTACTGTCGTGGTCCATTGTCGTGGTGTGAACTCTCACAACCGATCCCGACTGTCGCATCCCCACTCTCTAGAGGTGGAATGGCGTCACGTCGTTGCGGTCAAACGACTTGTTGCATGCAGGGCATTTTCTCATGCGGTTCGTAAGTCTGTCGTCCACGCACCCATTGCAGAACGAGTGCCCACACCCCTTTAGAATCGTGTTCTTGAAGTTGATTACGCAAATCGAGCAAATCACCATGGACTAAGAGCCGTTAGCACAGTCACACACCAGCACCTCGTCCGAGCTCGACTTACCCGAAGTTGTTCCTCCTCCATGGTTGTTTTGCCGTGCGCTTTCGCCTTCCACTTTTCCGAATCCTTGGCTGCGTTCTTGACCTTGACCTTGAGCCTCTCCACTTCCGTCTCGCAGTCCATGGCCTTCTCCTTGAGCGCTGCCGTCGACGCGTCCTTGGACTTGACAAGGTTGACAACTTCCGACATTTGCGACTTCAACGATTCCGCCCGTCGTGTCGCCTCGGCACTCGCCTGCTCGAGCTTCTTGTTTTCGGCCATGACCGCCGAGTTGGACTGCTTCAGGTCGACCAACTGCTTCTCCAGAATCCCGAGGAGTCCCTTGCTCTGCTGGTCGAGGTCCTTCAACGTCGAGATAATCTCCGAGCTCTTGCCGTTTTGGGCGCGGAGGGCGCGGTTCTCGGCCATCCGGATATCCGTGTCCTTGCGTGCCGCAAAGTACTTTTGGTCGGCCTTGCTCTTCTCGGCCGTGATCATGGCAACCCGTTCCTCCAAAGCGTGAAAGTCCATCACCTTCTTATGCGCAATACCCATCGCCTTCTTGTAGGACTTTTCCAGGAGGGGAATCTCCATATTGATTGCCTCAAAGTTCTTCTCGAGTTTGATGTACCTTTGTCGCAGTTCGTCGGCCGACAGCGCCTCGAGATCCTCCCGGGCGTCCGTCATTTCGGTATCCTCCTTTGGCCGGAGGCGCTCGAGCTCCGATTCCAACTCGGCTATCCGGTCGTCCTTGGCCTCCGCCAGCTCCTTCATGTGGACTCCGGCGGTTCGCTCCTGGGACTCGGCCGCCTTGCGCATGGCCAGTTCGGCCGTGAGTTCGTCTCGCGCTGATCGGATGCGCGTCAGGTCCTGGTCCTTGAGCTGGATTTGCTCCTCGAGTTCCAGCGTCACCGCTTGCGCTTCGCTCTCCAGCTGAACTCGGAATGCTGTCCTCTCGGCGCGGAGCTTCTCGGCATCCTCACGCAGCTCCTTGTTGGTGGCCTGAAGGTTGTTGATTCGCTTGATGAGATCCTCGTTCTGAAGCTTGAACCTCTTGAAAACATCGGTTCGCACATAGTCTTCGTCCGTGATGCCCTCTCGCTTGATCTTAAATGCCGAATTTTCCTCTTGGAGTGCCTTGACCTCGGCGGACATGGCCTGGAGTTGTTCCTTGGTCTTGGCCAGCGCCGCGGCGGTTTCCTGGTATTGGTGCCGGAGTTCGTCGCTGTCGCCGCTCGTCGAGCTAAAGGGGGTTCCGTTTTCCTCGTTGGTGGACTTTGTCGCAGACCCCATCGCTTGCTGTTCCAGTTTCAGCACCTGGGCGCTGCGGACTCGATCCAGCTTGCGTTCGGCCTTGAGCGCTTTCAGTGTCTGCGTGTCCAGCTGCTCCGAAAGCGACGAATTCTCCGACTCGAGGCGTCCGACCTTCACCACCAGCTGTTTCTCGCTCGCTAGAAGTGTCTTGACCTGGTCCTCGAGTTCTGCGACATCGGGCTTGATCTCACCACGGGCGCCCTCCAGCCGCTTGAAGAGCGCCTCCGATCTCGTTTTAAGTGCCTTGGCCTTGTCGTCGAGGAGGCGCTGGAAGTCCTGGTTGTCCTTAAACCCGAGCGCCGACTTTGATAGCACGCCTGATGAACTCGGTGGTGACACGGTGCTCTCCGCCAGCAACTGTATTTCTTGTAGCAGCTGAGTATTGTCAGCACGCGCCCGGTCTTGTCTTGGAGCATCCAACATACCTGCAGCACCCAAGCATCGACCCATCGAATGTGGTCGTCATGATCGGCCGATTTTTGCGTGACCTCTTGTAGCCGGACCTCGAGCCTAGATCTCTCCCGCTTGTACTCTTGCATCTGACGGTAGATGGCGCCCTTTTGATATTCCTACACGAGCCAGTCTATGTCAGTGTCGTTCCCAGCCCAGCGACCCAAGTGATGACGTGTGTACAGCGCGGCGGGAAGGTCGCGACGACGAGGTGATGGGGGGCAGCATCAGGGGATGGAAAAGAGATGGCGGCCTGGTCTTCTTCGGGCTGGCTGTTCCCAGCGAGCCGCGCATTAGCAACGACGGTCAAGGCGGGCACCCCTGCAGAAACAGCTGCTGATGTTGACTGAGGGAACCGCGCCTGCATCGAAGAACAGGAAACGCGCGGCAAATGGCCGGTTCAAGGGACGCGCTCGATGAAGAGAGGGCCAGGGCGGGCGTGCGACGGGGAATGGAAAACGGGACACGGCGTCGGAAGGCTGGCCGAGCGAGGGAGGGAGGGGCGAGGGAGGTAGCAGTCAGAACTCACCTCAATCCACAACTCTTCCTTGTCCTTGTCGGCGTCGTCCTTGGGCTTGCTGCTGCCATTAACAGCCTGGCGCTTGCTCGGGGGAGCGTTGTCGTCGACCGCGGTGGACGCGGGTCTCTTCCTGTCCTCCATCTTGGCGAAGGTGGCAGGACGAGGCACCGAGGGCGAAGTGGCAATCGGCATCAGAAAAGGCCTCGGGGAGGGAGGAAAGAAGCGGAAAAAAGGCAGCGAGTCGCGAGCCCGGGCCGACGAGAGCAAGATAAATCGGTCAGTGCCGGCGGGCGACGGCAGCGGGATGGACGGGGCGAGGTCGGGTTGAATGAGCGTCGTTGTTTGGGGGGTTGAGAACTTGAGAAGAATGGAGAGAGGAAGCGGGCTCGCGAGTGTCGAGTGTGCGAGACTGCGAGTTGACCAAGGCCCACCCAATTCGAAGA